TAGGCAACTGCTTCAGAAAGTTATGAACGAATGGTTTTTCAGCCTTAACTAGTGCATGTGGGACTACTGCAATCCACAACTCATTCGGCATCCCAAAAGCGATGGTTCTTACTTGAAAGGTGTTTGCTGGTAAACAAAGATCAGAGCAGTGGGCTTGCTCTTCCCTTCTAGCATCCTTCATAGGAAGTTTGGCTCTCCCTGTACAGGTTGCATCTTTCCAAAGAAGCTGCAACCAGGAACAAAAAGAAAAACTAAACCATTCCCAAGAGCATAAAGATTGTTTCTGAAAGCTTCTACATGCAGTCCTGTGTGGCTGCTGCTTTCTGCAGACAGTAGAAATTTTCAGTGTGTTAGATGTATGCACAGCAATTGTGTCTCCTTAGTCTGGACTTTTACACTGCATAGACCAAATGCATAAATAATAGAAACCTTTCAGAGCCACGTGAAATCCTCAACCGATTTTAAAAGCAGTTCATCATGGCTTTTCAGTGTGCTGTTTTAATCCCAATCTACGCTATTGATTTTTTCAATTAATCTTTTAATCGCATCTGTGCATGAAAGAAGATAAACATCCCGTTTATATCAGCTTTAATAAAAGTGGCATGCAAAATTAATTTGCTGTAGCAGCAGAATGAGCAAAAGAATCCTTAAGGTTTTTCTTTGATTTTGTTGTTCAAGTTCCAGGAGTTGCATGAAGTATTTGCATTGGGACAGCAAACATAAACTTCCCCTAGTACAGTAAGAACACAAGGTGCCTTAATTAATCAAATGCTTTGGTCTTTTTATTCCTTTGACTGGTTAACCTGCTGGGACCCGGGATATACAACACTGTCTCTAATGACATCTTTTGATAGTGTGGTTGTTTTAGTCCATGTACTTACCATTGTCAAAATTCAGAAGATTATTCAGCATGAGATTTTTAATAGTATCTATATAGTAGCACTTTTATATTCAGGCATTACAAAGGGCTTATTTTACAGATGGGGTGCAGAGAAGCTATGACTTGTCCATAGTTGTGCAACAGATTATTATTGCTAGAGTCAGAAATAGAGCTTGGCTTCCATGAGACTTCCAGAGACTACTTTCTAGTGTTGTAAATGTATATAAAAAGAGCACTACAATATGGATAAGCCCT